AAGTATAGGTGGCATTTGCAAGAACCTTCTTGTGTAATGCTGTCTCAGGCAGTGCTCCCCTCACCTTAGAGGGTTGTATTTGAGCTTGCCTCTCCCGTTTGGCCCAGTACTTCCGAGTATCTGTAACAGATGCTTGGAAAACTCTAAATAAGTGCAGCACGTTAAGCTTTGCGCACTTTTCTCAAATCCACATAAGTGGTAAGTGTGCACGTTATGCTTTGCGAATGTTCTAAAATCCACATAGTTGGTAACCAGTGAGGGTTATTGTGAGTATGGTGCTTTCTTTCGAGCGTTAATCCTCTCTTAAGTGCGCACGTTATGCTTTGCCCACTTTTCTAAAAATCCTGTATGGTAAGAGCTACGCGCCAGACTTCGTGCTCTTTTTGAGTGGTTTAAAACCCCGGTTCTGCCTTGGGCACCACTCCCCCTATGTATCCTCTGGATACCTACTTAACAGGGTATTGCTACTAAGGATCTGTTGAGACAGTTCCTTCACCACATGCAAAGACAAACGTGCGGTAGCCCCTGTGTGACAGACCAAGACTAGTATGATTCTAGGCTCTTGGTCGTATTCCCTTAAAGGAATCTGTTTCTGATTCCAAGCCTTGAGCTCTACCCCGGGCCCAGGAGTCTGGCCCTAACAGGTAAGTATTTTGGGGTATGTAGCCTAGGCCTTTGGCCGTAGGGAGTAAAGTCACTGACAGCCGTCTAACGTCCCAGGAGTGACTCCCATAGCAATATGGTAGAGTTGGTTCTTAGTGCTCGCCATGGTTCTGGCTTGCACTCCCCTCAGCATGGTGGCGTGGGTATACCATTCCCCATAGCGACCCCTAGAGGACGCAGTTCGAAGTTCCCATGAAAGGGAACGTCTCAGGTTACTTATGTAACCATGGTATGAAACCTCTAGGTTTCTTGCCATGCTGCAGATGCAAGCTTCAGACGAAGAAGTGAATGATGTGTAGCTCCCGGTGCCTATTTATACTATAGTCGCACCGGTAGTGACATCATGGCTGTCGCCGGCCAACGAGTTGGTGTTTTTTCAATGTATGCTTCAGACACAGGTCAAGACGAGGCGTCCCCCATAGCGACCCCTAGAGGATGCAGTGTCTCGTTCCCTACTCAGGGAACCATGGTTACATAAGTAACCTGAGACGTTCCAAATGAATCCACATCAGGAAATGAACATTGTGACTCTGAGCAGCACACTGTAGTCGTGTTTTCTTCAGCTAAACACAAAAGAATATAATTTGAAGAATACTGATAACTAAACTGTTTCAGTTCCCATTGACTGCCACTGAATGGACAAAAAATACAATGTAAATCAATGGGAACAGAAACGGGTTGGGTGTCAACAGAAAAACTAAATGTTTATTTTTGGGTAGACTATTCCTTTAAGATAAATCGGTTAAATAAATCATTCAATGACTCATTCATAAAGACACTTGTTGGCACCTACTGGCAATGATGTCACCTGCAGAAAGAGTCACTGAAAAATCTCCATGTTTATAGCACACAGTGACAAGTCCCAGCAGCAGTAGCAGTCCATATATAGGCACCAAGCAACTATTCTATAAACACTATGGAATATTTGTGTAAATAAAATCAAGTGTGTTACACATACATACAATATGGATATGGAATTATGTATATTAATATTTCGGCCTACTAACATTTATGCTGATGAGTGATATATTATAACATATCTCTCAAGTTAAATGAATTGTATGTTTACAATAAATAAATGAATAAAGATGACAAAAGGAGATATAATAAAACCAGTGCTGGAACATTTGGATAAAAACAAAGGACTTGGATTTCATAAAGATGCTCAATGTTCTCGTCCCTGAAACCGAAACTGTTTAAAGGCTGTGTGTGAGGCTTTCCAGAGCGGAATTAGTAGCTCATCTGAGTGCAGCGTTTGTCCTGCTGTGGGACACATTGACCTTCCTGACAACACTCTTTCACATCACACGTGTCTCTATTGCCTCCAAGCATGATACTTACTAAGCACATCACAAATCTAAAACAAAATCACACACACACACACACACACTTGTTTCACTAAATTAGTGAGGACTTTGCGTAGACTTTCATTGACTTTATATCAGGTTAATATTTTCTATCCCCTAAACCAACCCCTCACAGAAACACATGCAAAACACCACATTTAAATAAAAACATGTTTTGGCCGATTTATAAGCCTTTTTAACTATAGGACGAGTAAAATGTCCTCATAGTGGGTTGTCATATTATTTCACTATATTCAAAGAATCATCAAACTACCAAAACAACCCATCTTAATCTCAGTTTATAGACAGTTATAGAGAGTTTATAGACCTTTCAATGACATGATTTTATCTTAACTCAATCCCTTCTTTAAAATGCATTAGCAAACAAACAATAAGCCCCCACTAGCCATGAGAGGACAGGTCCTTTGATCACATCTGACTATCATCTTAATTAACCACGCCTCCGGTGATGCTGCGATGCGTTTAGACACTTACAACTGAGAGCCAGCTCATCCAAATGACCACACATCTCTGGGGTCTCGACGAGTCACGACCATCTAAAATAAGAGAAAAGTTTTTCACTTTTTTTTTTACGTTTAAGTTATTTTTACGTTTCCTGTAGCCTAATAAAAAGTATCGAAAATAAATAGTTTATGAACTGTCATTTAAAATAAGTAAAGTTTTTGTTTACCAACTCTTCACACTGATTTAACAACTGGCTTGGCCACTAAAACACTAAAAAAGAAGCACGAAAGCATGAACTCAGCAGCTTATAACATCAAGGATCTTTTTCCGAAGAATTCCACTTGTAAGGATGACGCCAAACACTTTAATTGGAGCAGCACAGAAGATCTTCCTCATCCTCATCCTCCTCACCTTCCGCGCTTCACCACCGCGGCTCAGGTCCGAGTGACGCTCACCCTCCTCCTGTGCGCGCTGTCCGCCTGCTGCAATCTCGCCGTGCTTTGCTCAGCCAACCACAAGCACAGAAAGCGCTCCCATGTTCGGCTCATCATCACCAATCTGGCGGTGGCGGATTTACTGGTGACGTTCATCGTCATGCCTCTGGACGCGGTGTGGAATATAACGGTGCAGTGGCTCGCGGGGGACCTCGCGTGCAGGACGCTGATGTTCCTCAAACTCATGGCCATGTACTCGTGCGCTTTCGTGACCGTGGTGATAAGTCTGGACCGACAGGCTGCTATTCTCAACCCGCTGTCCATCAACAAAGCGAGGAAGAGAAATAAAGTATTGCTGAGTGTAGCGTGGACCATGAGTGTCGTGTTGTCCATACCACAGGTAAAATACATTTTGAGGTCGTGTAAGATGGGGGTAAGATGCCCCCTGCCCTGGGGCAAGACCTGGGTGGCATGCTGTTGCTATTGTTATTTTTTAACGTTAATTATTTAATAATTCTATGAGTTTCATTGAATATATATATAGGCTAATTGAGTGAAATCATCAAATTGTTGCTGATATGGCATATCATTCATTAAAAATATGGGAAATTAAATATGTTCATACATATTTAGGTGCATTCAAATGTATCTTTCAGATGAATCTCTTTTCCTGGGATTGTGCTTTGTCTGTTGTTGGCTATTCAATTATTGAAGTAAATTGTTAAAACAATTTTAGTTGATTTAGTGTTTTACATTAATTACACTTTAATGACATCCTGCACATGCTAATCTGATCTAAATATGTTACATTATAAAAGTAAAGGCATACATATTGATTTTAAGGGGGCATCGCCCTTATCTATGGATTTTTTTCTTTCTTTCCAAAGTTATGACTTGCTTTGCTAAAAAGAAAAAGAAAAAAAAGACCGCAACCTGGATTGCTGATTTAAGCTGATCTTTCAGGCTAAATAGCTGAAAAGTGCCCCAAACCCCTCTAAAACCAAACCAGCCAACAGACCATCCATTTTAGGCTTGTTTAATCTGTTCATTTAACTGTTGTCACAATATACAGTGTAAGATGTCTCAGTTAAAACAGTCATTGAGAAGTCATTTTTGAAATATGAAATGCCATCAGAAGTAAGTTGTAGCAGTGTTATTTTAGTATCACTGAGATACTATTATAGTTTTTATTAATAGTTTGAATTATTATAATTTTTGTTGTAAGTTTTAGTAATTTTGTTGTTTAGTAATCATTTTAGTTTCAGTTTATTTTAGTAAATAAAAAAAAACTAAATTAAATGAGAAATGTTCCCTTTCATGGGAACGTCGAACTGCGTCCTCTAGGGGTCGCTATGGGGAACGCCTCGTCGTGACCCGTGTCTAAAGCATACATTGAAAAAACACCAACTCGTTGGCCAGCGACAGCCATGACGTCACTACCGGTGCGACTATAGTATAAATAGGCGCCGGGAGCACACATTATTCTCTTCTTCGTCTTCATTGACTGTTTTGTTTGAAGTTTGCATTTCTGTGGTAAGAGCAATCTATTCATCTCTTTATGGTTGAGCACTAGCAAAGCGTTTAAGGATGTGTGCATCAGTGTTGACGTTGTTTAACATCTGATGACACACAAGATCTATGCGTTATTTGTTTGGGCGAAGAGCACGCATGCGATGCCTCCGAGGGGGCAATCGGCATGCACTGCGAGTGTTTTTTCCAAGGGAAAAGCTCTGCTCTCGTTTGTCTCTTTTTTCGAGGAAAGAGGGGCAGCCATCTGCTTCCCGCGATTCAGGACCCGCCGCTG